ATTAAAGTTTGCCAAACAAGATCATTATGGACAATGGAACTAATTTGAATAACAAGATGATGAAAGAATTGTGTGCTAATTTTAAGATTCAACATCATAATTCATCACCATATCGTCCAAAGATGAATGGGGCAATAGAAGCAGCAAATAAAAACATAAAGAAGATTGTCCAAAAGATGGTAGTTACATACAAGGATTAACATGAAATGTTGTCCTTTGCACTACACGAATATTGCACTTCTATTCGAACTTCTACATGGGCAACTCCATATTCTTTGGTATATGGGATGGATGCAGTGCTTCCAGTTGAAGTAGAAATTCCCTCTCTAAGGGTGTTGGCTAAAACAAAACTGGAAGAGGCTGAATGGATCCAGACTCGTATCGACCAACTGAATCTCATTGAAGAAAAAAATGTTGATCGCCTTATGTCATGGACAGTTGTATCAAAAAAGGTTGAAAAGATCCTATGATGAAAAGGTTCATCGTCGACGATTTCATGAAGGAGATTTGGTCCTCAAGAAAATCCTACAAACTCAGAAGGATCAAAGAGGAAAGTAGATGCCGAATTATGAAGGACCATATGTGGTAAAGAAAGCTTTTTTAGGAGAGACCCTTATTCTTTCAAACATGGATGGTAATGATCTATCACTACCGATCAATTCTGATGCAGTTAAGAAATACTATGCATAAAATAAAATGAGGTCTAGCCAAAATTGAGCAACCCGATAAGCTGAAAACTCCAAAGCAGTTTAGGCAAGATAGGGGCAAATAAAATTATTTGACTGATCTATATAAAAGTCAGAGCAACTTACAATGACGAAAGTTCAAAAATGAGAAAATAATTTAAAAGATTGATATACACAAAGTGACTCAAGGGATGAAACCACAAATTGTCGTATGTTTGCAAAGGTTGACGGATGAGCTCTTCAAAATTGTAAACATGAGGATTAACATTGTTACCCAAAAAACCCTCAAATTGTCACTTATGTTTGTATTATTACATATTCCTTAAATAAAATTGTTCCTGTATGCACTCTTTCCATTCCTAGAAATAAAAAATAAATTGTCTCAACCACCACCTCTTTGTGTCATTTCATCATAAATATACCAATAAAGGAACATGTCATAATGTTAATAATGCATTATAGTGAAAAAAAAAACGAAAATGAAGTGATGTGGGCAAGAACGACCAGTTGTTGATTCAGAATCTTATGTAGCAAAGCATAACCATGATCTAATTGAAGAATACAAATTCAACATGTTTTAAAACAAAAATACATTTCAAAGACAACTTCCCTCCATGAATCTTGATTGACTCGAAATCTTAAGGGGTCAAGGCGTAGGAAAATGTACATAAAAAATAATATATATATATATATATATATATATATATATAAAATAATAATAATAATAATAATAAAACAAAAATCATTAGTTAAAAGTGCATGCATCATGCTCCCATCATGAATTTGCATATCATACACCACACATTATGCATTACATATCATATTTTATTTGTGAATCACATGTCATGCATTTTATTTGTAAATTACATATCATGCACTTTATTTGTGAATTAAGTATCATGCATTACTTGTTTAAGTTAAGAATAAATAACTATTTAACCTTTGTTATATTCAATAAACATCTATCTAGAGAGTTTTAATACCAGGTCTTTGTGCCCAAAACAATCAGATTTGTGCCAATAGCTGAAGGGTGCAAAAATATTCATGTTAGCTTCTCATGTCTCTTACAAGGTTTCCCATGCCTCTTATAAGGTTTAAATTATATGCATTACTTTTAATGTTAAAATACCTCTTTTGGCCCCTTACTTTTAAGGGTTTAAATTATATGCATTACTTTCAAAGTTTTCAACACCTCAAATCATAGCTTTGTATTTGGTCCCCGAGCCCCAGGTCTACGAACCCACTTCTAAATTTTCAATCGTCATATTTCGATCGCAATATTGGATCCCCGAGTCCTCTTCTAAGTTTTCAACTTTTTCAAATTATAATTTTATATTTGCATATTTCAATCAGAATATTTGATCCCCGAGTCCATTTCTAAGTTTTCAACTCTTTCAAATCACAATTTTACATTTGCATATTTCAATCACAATATTAGATCCCTGAGTCCACTTCTAAGTTTTCAACTTTTTTAAATTATAATTTTATATTTGCATATGTCAATCACAATATTGGATTCCCGAGTCCATTTCTAAGTTTTCAACTCTTTCAAATCACAATTTTACATTTTCATATTTCAATCACAAGATTGGATCTCCAAGTCCATTCCTAAGTTTTCAACTTTTCAAATCACAATTTTATTCTCACAGTATTTTTACATTTACATCTTTAATTATGTTTTATTATGATAAGATAAATTCACATTCAAATTATTCAATAAAATTTAACTAAAGAAGGGAAACTATAAACGCTTCCAACCACCCTACAGCCTCCCAGTCACCTCCTTACAGCCTCCTGCATACATAGAAATGGAGCTCTATATAAATTGATAGAAAGTAAAAAAAAAAAAAAAAAGAGGATACCATCACGAAAAAGAAAAAGATTCACCATCATCACGCACCCACACCCACCATCACAAACAAACTCTCAGTCAAAACAGCAACTAAAAACTCAACAGATTCCACACAATCAACAAATTCTACACAATCAACAGGACATAATGAACAGATTCCTAAATCCATTGTTCCTAATTCACTTTGTAAGTAGTATTTGTAGCTGAAGAATTTGTATTGTACAGATTAAAAATTATTACAAACACACACAAAAATCATTTACCATTATCACCACCAGTAGCCACTGCAACCTCACCCTAGCCACTCACCTGTATCCCTATCCTCTTTGCAAATGCTCACCCACCCGCGGTCCATCAAACCTTACATTACCACCTTCAACATCTATCTCGGCCACCGTGGAACTACCATCGCAATCGCCATCACCACCAAGCATCCCAAATCACTACTGCACTGACCGATCAACTCCCCCATCCTCTGCACCGACCATCTCGTGTCTCCGCGAACCACTACTGCCTGTCTATGCGAACCACCACCCGTCACCTCCACTCTTCAATCTCAATTTCCCCTTTAATCGTGAAACCTTCGCTGTTCGGCGCCCTCCTCCCCTCATATTTCCTCAGGATTAGGTTTTAGGTCTATTAGGTTAAACAAAGACATTGACTCAATAAGAAAAACTGGGCTTAAGAGGGTTACGACCCAAATCGATCTGGAGGTAGGAATAACAAAAATCGACTTCTAATAGTGAAACAAATCAATCTTAGACCCAACAAATTGGTAGGAGATTTTTGGGGCGGATAAAAAAATTTGGATTTGGAGGTGAAAAATAGTAAAAATAAGTTTTCAAATAGTAAAACAAGTTTGAAAGAATTGAGATTAATGTTTTTTCTTTCTTTTATTTCATTAAACTAGACAATATAAAAAAAACAAGTTATAAATAATAATAAACAAAAAAATTTATTTACCATTATTTTATCCAAATTTCTAAATAAAAATTATTCTATTTTTTAAAATTTTAAATTAGTATATCATTATTAGTATATTAACAATTAAATCTCAATAATTATCACTTTCTTAACTTGAGTGTTATTAAAAATGTAATATTATTGTTATTTGAGTAGTAAAAAAATATTTCATAAAAGTTAAGCCACTTTGGATGCACATCTAATTTGGTTGCCATAAAATTATAATAATCACTTCAAATGTACTTTTGACTTGATTATAATAAGATATTTAAAAATATATATATTTTAAATCCAAATAGAAATTTTAAAATACAATAATTTAAACATTTAAATTACTTTGGATATAATTCTGATTTAATTATTACTCATATTATAAAAATGATAATCACTTTAGATGTACTTTTAATTTGATTATTACATAATTATCCAACTTTAAAATAATTTCAAGCATATGTTTAATTTAGCAACACAAATAGATGAATTAAAATAAATTATTTACAAATATTTGTAAGAAAGAACTAGTTACACAGATTCTCCATTGCACCTGGGGATATGTAAGAGCAAGAAGATGATCTCTGTCGAGCTAAAAATATATAATCTTTTAATTTTTAGTAGCAACATTTAATCGATATATAAGTTTGAGAGACAAAATAGATAATTTTAAGATATTTAAATTTTTATGTCTAATTAAAGGTAACCGTTTTTAGAACGGATGTTGTAAGGTGTTAATACCTTCCTTATACATAATCAGCTCTCGAACCTAACATTTATTTCGTAGACCACTTTCTTTTCTTTTTGAAGGTTTTTTCCAATATTTTTCTTTAAAATAAATATTGGTGGCGAATCCATTATTTTTATTGTTTTTGTTTCATTTAGAAACATAATTTTGGCGTCTAGTCGTGATTTTGATTGCGACAAATATGAAGAGGAGGCAAATGAAACATGAAGTTTCACATCACTTTGAAACTAAAATTAGGCTATTTTTTTAGTAATGTACTTGTTTGGAACGTCCATTTTATGCTTCTCATTGTTGCATTTTTTATGTCATTAGGTGAAAAAGCTAGACATTTATAAATATGATCTCTTATCTCTTGGAACACTCACATTTTGATTGAATAAGAACTAATTTACTTAATATTTGTCTTCTTATTCTTTAAGATAATATGTAAGAGTAATTTTTTCCTAGTAAAGAAATCTTCTTTGGAAGATGAGTAATTTTAGTTTTTTTTTAAACACTTGAAAAGTTCAAGCATTTTTAATCTTTGAAATAGTAAAGGCTCCATAAAAAGGTGTGGAAGAGAGAGAAAAAATAATAAAAAAATACTAGTAAAAGAGTATTAAAAAAAAATTAGGGGAGATAAAAGAGAAAAAAAAATATAAAAAAGTAAAAAAATATAAAAAGTTAATATGATTGATTTTGATCTTTTAACTATTAATCATATGATTGGATTTGAAAATGAAAGAGTAACGGGTTGTTATTCATCAATTTAATTATATACTCCATCCAATTCGATCCAAGTCCGTTTTCTTTATGTTAGAAATGGATGACCATAATATGTGAATGATTTTGCCAACCTAGAATACACATAAAGTATTCTTAAAAGTACAGGGAGAAAAAAAAAAAAAAACTAAAATGATAAGGAAACTAATACTCAGGGAAGACATACATATATCTTTATAGACTATACGTTTTGCTATTTTATATAATAAATCAAAACAAATCTTTTATATGTTGAATGTGGCTATGAACATTAGCGACATCATTATCTGATTAAAGGCATGAGAAAGTATGCTACGTACAGTAACTGCAAAAAAAGAAACTTCAATATAAGATATATATATATATATATATATATATATATATATATATATATATATATATATATTCCATTTTACATTAAAAAAAACAGATTTTAGTGCAAGAAATTTAAAAATAAATATACAAATATTGACGATGTTGATTTTTTTTTATCAAAGTATTAACTTATCAATTTATGATCAAATATAATCATATAAATTCATGTTAAAAAAAAACTGTAATTAGTCAATTTACCCCCGATTTTGTATTTAAATTAGAAATTGAAAAGCAATAGAAATTAAAAAGAAAACTTATTTCTCAAAACAAGGGAATTAATTCGACAGTGTTATTTATTTTAAATAACAATATAGATATTTAACTCCTTAAATGGTAACAAATTTAAGAGTATTACCTTCCAGATCAACATATAGAAAGATCCAATGGAAGCTTTGCTACTCAAATCTACAAATTTTGCCTGATACCAGAGAATTGAAGCCAGAAGAAGATATCCCAAACCCTAAAACATTGACACCAAAAAAATTTCATTTGATGAAATGTTTACACAAGTTATATTCAATTTTTAATTACGCTTGACACTACTATCAAAATTATGAAGTTGATAGCCAATCCAACAAGAAAAACGTTCTTAAGATCATATATATAAAGAAATTAATAAAATATCTATCAATGGGACATTTTCCTAAATAAAATGCTTATGAGATTTGCTAAAAAAGATTTTGTCAAAATAGATGTGAAACATACATAACACAACAAAAAAAAAACACTAATTTCTATAATATTAATAATAAATCCCTAATCCTAACGAAATAAATAAATAACTCATGATATTTAAGAAAAAGATAGAAAAATAATCACTACTACAAAATATGTTTTCTACGTCGTCATTTAACGTCAGTTATAGCTCAGACGACGTAGAAAGTACTTTCCACATCGGTTCCCAGATGAATCGACGTTGAATGTTAAACACATTCTACGTCAGTTTTTAGTCAACCGACGTAGCGGTTCCCAGATGAACCGACGTTGAAAGTTGAATGTTAAACACATTCTACGTCAGTTTTTAGTCAACCGACGTAGAAAACACTTTCCACGTCGGTTCTGAGATGAACCGATGTGGAAAGTCTTTTTTGTTTTTATTTTTTTTCACCCAAAAATTCACTTAAATTGACACTGGGAGGATTCGAATCCAGGATTTTAGAATTGAAAACCGATACTCCAACCACTAAACTACTATAATTTTCTAATAATAACTTCCAAATAAATTATATTTATATACAAATAAATATATATCCGTGTAAATATATATTTATTTGTATATATTTTTTGGAAAGTGTTTTTATTTTTTTTAGTCAAAAATTCACTCAAGTTAAAGATTTGTCATCGAGAGCATTTGAACTCGGTATTTTAGAGTTGAAAGTTAATATCCCAACCACTAAATTACTATAATTTTTTGATAATAACTTACAAATAAATTATATTAGTAGTTTTCGATCGAGGGTGAAAGTGGGATTGACTCTCGCTTGAGTGAAAATACGTTAAAGCTCACAGAAATTCACTCGCTCAAGCCTCGCTTGAGCAAAAATTGGTATTTTTTGCTTGAGAGCGAATGACGCGTTTCCCAAATTTATTTTATATCATTATATAAATAAATTATAAAGATTATATTCTGTCATTAAATTACAAACTCATATAAAGATACCCGCTCATAAATTTAGCATCAAATTTTGAAAACTCACTCGACACACACTTTCACCTTCGAGCGTGCCCTCACATCCAACATATAAATATATAACTATATAAATATATCAAAATATATAAATATATTTGTATTTATATATTTATATACTTACACGAGACATATATTTATTTGTATATAAATATAATTTATTTGTAAGTTATTATCAGAAAATTTTAGTAGTTTAGTGGTTGGAGTAACAACCTCCAACTTTAAGGTACTGAGTTTGAATCCTAAAAGATAATTTAAATCTCTCTAAATTACTTAGGATACAACTAAGATATTGGACGTTGGTTTTTATATTAGAACATTTACAATCAACATTCTATTCTTCTATGCTAAAAAAAAAATATATTTTCAAGTGGAAAAATAAACAACACACCTATAAATCAAACTTATACATGTAACAAACATATTACCGTGACAATTTTAACCCAAAGACAAGACGATGTTAGTCCCGCCATAAGACCAATTCCGAAAGCGATTTCGAAAAGGGGAATACAAATCCAGAATACCTGTAAACATTAGTTAAGGACAACCGAACCGAGGGATATGCAAAAAGGAAACTCAGGTAAAATGTTTTATCAGAAAAATATACCCGTTTTTGACCTAAACGTGCTGAAAAAGATTGAATACCAAATGCTTTATCTCCGTCGATATCAGGTATATCCTATATAAATCCAATTAAAGGTTTTATATTAGGTACATAGAGTAAGGTAAAAGATTGTTGTTGAAAAAAATGTTTGTTGTGAGAAACTATTGTCTTTTACCTTGAACAATGCAATACCTAAAGAATAGAAGCCCATGAATACAGCCACAAAAATCAGTGATCTTGGAAAGATAGTTGCCCTCTTCAACACAAAAGTCTGGACATTGTTACATGAATCAACCAACAATAACGTATTATTTAATGACATGGGAAATGTTCTTGGAGAATATAAAATTCTTGTGTATATGGAAAAATGTGAACAAAACCTGCATGTGATAAAAATATGTGATTGGAAATATAACTGCCCAAGTAGCAAAAATGCACATTGCCGCAAGTAGTGGATGTCTTTTCCATCTGCACAGGGGTACCTGATGAAAAGTTTCAAAGGAGTGTTATCACCATCTAACAAATTTTTCTTCCTCAAAATTTAAGTGTTTTGGGCAGTTTGGTCAACCTCACGTAACCACAAGAATCTTCATACTTGGATTTAAGAATCAAATTGTTTAGGAGTCCTTAAGAAATTAGTTTATTTTATTTTCCTAAAATATTTTCCATTATCATCATGGAGATATTTTAAATAGTATATCAAGATGATGGAACGAAGCCTTAACTCCAACCACACATGATAGCAATCCAACCATTGCACCGTGGCTTCCTTCCATAACTTTTACATGCTTATATCTCAACATTTTAAGGGACGGAAAGAAGTTTATATGCAATGAAAAGAAGTCAAAGAACTCACATTGATTGAATAAGCAGTCCACAGTAAAAAGCAGGATACAAGACCCCAAATCAATGGCCAAGAACCTATAGTCCAGGCAAGCCCAAAACTCTGCAAAAGATAAAAGAAAATAAGCCTCCATTTCCTTTGTCAAGGAAGCTCTTCTAAATAAGTATTATTCTAAAAGGGGAAGAATATATATTGCACCAGAGTTAAACTTGATGCAACCATAATGACACCAGTTGTAAAGGATATTTGCCCAGATGCCAATGGAAGATAGGGTTTGTTTATCTGCAATAAAACATATAACAAATTAGTAATAAGATAAACCATATAGGTTACTTTCTCCACAAAGTTTGTGAGTTATGAAAGGAGGATTTATTGACCATGTCAAAGGACATATAAAAAAGAGTAAGTTTGGTAGAAAAAAATCATATAAATTATTCTAATTGTTAATATTTGTAAATGATCTTGTATGCACCAAATCTTCATATATGCTTAAGAATATAAAACTTCCACATTTATGTTATATCACTATTAAAAAATATCCCTTTCAAATTAGATAGTGCAGATTTGATAAAGGATCCACTGCTTGGCTTCCAAAAAGCTACCCTTGCTCCTATAATACCACAACACCTCTCTTTCCCCATCTGAGTTTGTAACTTACATGTTCTTTAGTAATTGAATTTCATTATTTTTTTAGTGTGACTCCTTAAAGAATCATCGATTTTTATATTATTATTAAATTTTTGTAAGGGAACAACTGAAAAGGTACTATAAGAGATATAACTCAATTTTCAATAATAATAATAAAAAAAAGTTAAAACTGTGTAGATTTGTAAGTTTTTTTTACTTGTATTACTCAATTTCACCATTTTTACATAATGTGGGGTAATAACTCATATTTGAATAGTTTTTGGCAACATGTGAAGAGAGGGAGAAGTGTTTTTGAGGGAAATAAGCTTTGGATAGAGAAGAAGGGGTTTGAGGAATTAAGTTTAGTGGTTAGAGAATTTACATCAATTATAACATTACTCCACATTATGCATTAGTTATTTTATAATCTATATAAAAGAAAAAAAAGTCAGCACCATGGTTATTTCATAACCAATTTAGAAAGTGATATAAAAATGTATTATCTAGTATCAGTGTACGTTTAAGGGAATGATACTAAGCCTAAAAGACATAACAAAGTTATTTATCATGGATGCAGGTTATTTATTTCTAGTAGTATAAGTTTCATACCTTGTCTATTTCAAGGTCACATAATTGATTCACGCCATTAACATAAATATCCATAAAGAAGTAAGGTATCAAAGCCTGAAACATTTTAAAAACACAAAATTTGTTAATGAAGTTAAAGGGTAGTTTATAATTGGGTGCGCAAAGAGAAATAACATATCTTTGGAGTCTCACCTGTAACACACCAATAATAAACAATGGAGATATATCTGATAGTTTATCCACTACGAGGAGAGATGTAGAAATTGTGCTTAATGCCTGACCAAAAACAAAACGATCATTTAAAATATAAGATATTATAATTATACAAAAAAGTGTTTCATATTAGAAAAGATTGAACTTACTGAACCAATCACTGAGTAAGGATAGCAAAACCAGTAGAAAGCAGCGAAGAAGTTTTTGACAGAGTCCAAAATGTTTTTGGAATTAGATTCTTGAGGTTCCGAATCAAAATGTGGCCTAGAGATGGCTTTCCCAACATATTTTTTGTTGCATTCTTGATATGTAGGTCCTCCTTCAATCCATTTGTGACGATTGTTCAAACTTGACTGTTGGAACCTCACAAGATTATATTCTATTTGAGTTTTTGTTTTGTATTGTGAAGCTTTTGATGCACAACAACCTAGAGCACCAAATGTTGGATGCAGTATTAGTGGTAAAAAACTATATTTTAAATTACTGCAGCCAAGATCATGACCAAGTGATGAATGGAGAAAGAGTAATCAAATTTAAGATTGAAATAAGAGAGTTCACCAACAAACTTTATTCTTTTCAAACAAAACCTAAAGAAAGAAAAACCTAAAATGCAAATTCAGAGTCATTTACATATTGTAAAGTATATTAGTAACGTGTGATGTTTCGTGCAAAAATGTCTCTAATTGATCATGATTTAAAAAATATATATATTTATTTATCTTCATTATAAAAAAAACTTTGTTTACTACAATTTTTTTGGACTTTGCGAAATGTAGATAATTAATTAAAAGAAAAAAAATATTTTTTTTAAATGAATGGAAAACTTCTGTAAAAATTAATTATTGACACGAGGGTCTCATTGTTATTACGTCATTGGAAAACCAAAGTCAAATAGGACGTTTTTGAAAAACCGAAAAGGGCCATAAGCCCAATCTACTATGTTCCCTTCGCGATATCCAAGGTCCAACCCACATCAAATAAAAACCGGGGTTTATTATCATAGATTACGAGACAACTAGTATTTTAACTTATAATGAACATAATAAATAAATATTCATTTTTTTACGACTAAAATATAAATAAATATTTCAATATAGAAATTATATTATAATTAAAATTTATAAAAAATTTATATTATACTTATAATAATAACTAATTCATATTTTGTTATATTATTTTTATTTATTGATTTTTTAAAATTATTGAAATTTAATTTAAAAAAAATAGATGATAGAAATAAAAAAAATTAAGTATATAGACGAATATAAAAGGAAATGCATTTGAGTTGGTTGCGAGATAAATCTTTTGGATTAATTTAAAATTAATAAATTTAAATAAATGAAAATGAAAATTAAAATTATGCTCAACATATAAAATTTCGATAAAACATGTGAATTAATAATAGTGAAAATCATTCGTAAAATGTCCTCTTATTAGAAAAACATGGCTCTAAAACAAACGCTCTCGTTCTAAAATGAAGGTTTAGTTTTATAACATAGGTTTTTAGATTAAAAAAAGTTAAGTAAAGAAATGGAGGATATATGAGACATACTTGCAAAGTAAATACTCTTGGTTGCATGTTTACCCCGCCAGAGATTTCCATCTACAATTACCAATGGAAAAAATTATAATGAAAAATCAATAAAATACTCCCAAGGTTAATTTTACACAAAAAGTAGATGAAATCAAAGTAAAAAGCAGCAGGTTATGAAGTACCAGCTATGAATGAACAAGCATTATTAGCTGAAGACATAGCATGCAGTGAATCCATAAAACACAGCGCAGACCACTTTTCAAATGAAAAGATGAGGGAGGGGAAGAGAGGTTTATATAGTACACTCAATATGCTTGATTCATCTTCAAAAGGATACACTCCATCACACATTGTCAATTAAATAATTAAAGCTAGCAGAAAAGAAAAAAAAAAAAACTACAGGCGCCATAGTTATTTCATTGGTAAGAAGTAATGATTTTTATGATGATTGACATTTGATTATAAGTAGATGCAGCAAGCAGTATTAGATGAATTCAGCAGTTTGCAAATGGAGTGTTGTTGGCAACGATGGATTAATTAAAGGTAGTCAATTTAGATGACTTGTTCCAAATATCTGCTTATATATATCCTACCGGCCAGTTTAATTTCAAAATCAGTGTGTTCATTGTCTTGTTTAAAAGAACAGGTCAAAATATTAAAATAATATGTTAACTATAGGTTAATAAACAGGAAAATTTAACAAAATGAGGTTGGTGAAGAATGTTTGCTATAACGTGGCTTATAATTTTCTTTTAAAAACATTTAATTTATTTTGTTTTTTTATTAAAACTGTTAATTCTATCTAAGCACTACGATATATTTCATCTGGACTTTTGGGTGTATTTAAAATTAGAAGTTTATAAAATAATGTTTTATTTAGTTTTTAGTGTTATAAAGTAGTCATTTTATGTTTAATAGAGGTAAACATGAATATTTTTAGAATTGTTAAATAGGACAATTCAGCTAGTTTAGTCTTATCATGACTAAGTAAAAAAAAAATTGATGATTTCAGTTTGAAAATAAATCTTATATATTTTAAAAAAATGACAACTCAAAGTAAATATTTTATTAATTAATTTATTTAAGTAAATTCGTTTATTAAATTATTTATTTATTTTTTTCACTGTTTTTCTCTTTTCTATATGACGTATTTTTACTTTTATTTTTATTTTCTCTCTTTCATATCTATTATGCTAATTAAAATTATTATATTGAAATTTAATAAAAACATGTTAAAGTAAATCTTTTAAAATTAATTTTAAAATTAAAAAAATATTGATTAATTATTTAAAATTATGATGACAATAAATAATTTTATTTATGATGATAATAAATAGTTTATTTATTATTATAATAAATAATTTTATTCACAATAATATAAATGTTAGACAAATGGCATCTAGAGGAGGTGAATAGATACACAAAATAAAATAGATGTCAAATTAAAAATTTATTTTAAGATGTCCAATATTTATTAATTTAATTTTAATTATCAAATTGAACAAAGATAAAGGAGAAGCGATATAATTAGAGAGATTAAATATCAATAAGATAGAGATAAAAATAAGGGGTGTAAGGAAAGTAATGCGATGAAAATGGGACAAGGGAAAGAGAAGAACACACAGTGATTTATACTGGTTCGGGTATAGTCAACCCTACATTCAGTTCCCAATCAACTCTTAACACAAGAGTGACCCCAATTCATTTCTTTTAAATTCAATTCACAAATTACAATCAACTCAGCAAAAAGTAAACTAATTCAAAAGACAATCACCTCCTTAGAAACTCACTAAGGATGAAAACTTCCTTAGAATCCCACTAGGGATGAACACCTCCTCTGAACAATTCAAAGGATGAACACACCTCCTTAGAGTCCCACTAAGGATGAACACCTCCCTAGAATCCCACTAGGGATGCACACCTCCTCTGAACAAATCAAAGGATGAAAATACCTCCCTGAACAAATCAAAGGGATGAACAATTTTCACACAGGAAACCCAAAAAAACACAACAGAATGACAGTGACTACTTAAACCCTAAACAAAGAATTTAACAATCAACCACTTAAGTCCACAAAGGATGAAGGTAATAAAATAAGAATAGTCACACCTGGGTAATGGAGACAACAAATTGTAGAAACCTGTAGAATGTAAACCTCCAATAACAAGTGTGATTAATAATGAAAGCACAGTAGGCAATGGAGAAGAGGGTTTTGGAAAAATATCTCCGTGGCAATGGAGAATAGGGTTTTCTCAAAACATGTAAAATATCTCTGTTGTCTTGCTAAAAATTCTTTTATCAAAACTGATTGAATGGAAATTGTATTTTCAAATTCTGTAATTATGTGTTTTTTATTTTCCATCAAAACTTAATTAGATAGAAAAATAGCATAAAAAATAGTCGTGGTCATTAATAATTTCATAGAGAAAGATCAGGATGTATTAAAAAACATTTATTCTTCAAAATGAATATATTTTTCAAATTTGAACTGCCACAATTGATTATGTTACCAGTATAATCAATTATGACAGAGAAATTCGTTTGTCCATTTCTTATTCATCATAATTGATTATGACAGTGAAAAATATCATATTACGAAATTTTATCACACTTATACTTTGGAGGCTTATGCATAATATTACTTCATCAACTTGTACCTCCATATCCAGTATTCTAAGACTCTATCTAGTATTCAGGAATCATCTTGGACTAGCTTGAATCTTGAATATAATCTTTATCAAATTATATCTTGGGTTTGCTTGAGTCTTGAATGTTGTTGACTTGAATCATCATCAAAATCAACTCTTGGGAATGTAGAGACATGTTTCACATTGCCATCAATCTCCCCCTCATTGCTTTCAATTTCCCCCTTTTTGATTATAATCAAGGAAACACCTGAATGAATTAAAATGTTTGACTCTATATAGCCAGCTCAAGATTAGCACAAATTTGCACAGTATATTTAAACTCCCCCTAGATATGTTAATAACAAAGTTTCCCCTATCTCATATGAGCAAAAATTTTCCTAACTCCCCCTATTTAATTTAGAGATAGGAATGAATTTCACATAACTTTTAATTCATCAAAAAAATCTCCCCCTATTTCATTGATAATCATAAAAAAATATTATGAGAGAAAAAAAAATCTCCCCCTGTTTCACACAGATTAATATCATCAAAATCTCTCCATATTTCATTGATAATTATGAAAAATATTGCAATAGAAATTGAACACAAATTTGCATAGATTAACATATAAAACAAGGCAGAGAAGATAATGCATCACAAAATGTCATAAAGAAGAACATCATATTAAGGAGGCAATATCTAGGATACCCAAGGCAAATGAAGATAGAGAAAAATAGAGGAATGAAATAATTGCAAAGATAATGAAATGGAATGCAGTAGTTTCCCCCAATTGCAGTCTTCTTATTGAGGCAACTTTTAAATTCAAATTCAAATTCACTCATATTTCAAATTTCAAATTCAAATTTCAAATTCAAATTTCTAATCCCAAATTTCAAATTCCAATTCAAATTTAAATTCAAAAAATCTCAAATTGCAAAATTTCAAATTTCAAAAATCTCAAATTGTAAAATTTCAAATTAAAAAAAAAACACAAACTGCAAAAAATTTCAAATTTCAAAATCTCAAACTACAAAATTTCAAATTTCAAAATCTCAAACTACAAAATTTCAAATTTCAAAAATCTCAAACTTTGAAATATCAAAGTTGGTCAACAATCGAATTTATATGACAGATAAGTGTAGATATTCAATGCAGAGGCATGGAAGACAAGAATAAACTTATCTTTGTAATATTTTCCTATTCATTTAACTTGTTCCTATACACCCATTTAGGTCCAATAACCTGCATTGATTTCTTATCCTTCATAATCACCTGCAATATCAACATACAAATCTAGGTACCCTTTCATCATCTTTGGATCCTTAAAAGGATTAGTAGAATCACAAGTCTCTGCCAAAAGACTAAGGATTAAAAGAATAGAACCATGATATAACAGATTATGTAATTCCTGTAATTAAAAAATTTTCAAACTTTAAAAAGTTTTCTGTAATAATCTATTAAATGTTCAAACTATCATCTAGACATGTATAAATGTTTTGTTCCTTTAGGCATCCATTCATATTTTCCATTAGATATACCAAAATGCTTTATGTAACATCTATTTGATGTATGACCTAATTTCATGCAATAAAAACATGTTGGTTTTTTTTGAAAATGTCTAAATGAGTTTCTTAAAGTTTTTGAAACTGGTTTCACATATGTTTTCCTTGACTCTTTCACAAAAAAAAAAAAAGTTTTATGAGGTTCTAGACTTTCTTTGGGTTTGTAACCAAGTCCAGCTTTGCTAGAATCCCCTCTTTGATACCCTAATATAGAATCAAGATTTTCAGAAGATTTTGAAAACTTGCTCATTATTTTCTCTAATTTGAAAATCTCATTTTCCAAATGATTACAATTTTCACAACGTTTAGTGTTAAGTGGTAAAAAGTTGATATAATTATGCCTTAAATTGTTATGAAATCATTTAACTTATGTTAATTCTAATCTATTTTTCTCCCAATATAGAATGAATTCGAGAATACCTTGATATAAGAGTAAGGAGCATAATTGTCAGCATAATTAGAGAAAAATTGAAAGAAAGAAAAATGCTTAAGCGAATGAATGATGCGAGGCCCGACCCAAATTCTCTTATAAAAAAATAAGATGTGTTTTGAGAAAAGGAAGCAGTCTTGGAGAAGAGGAGGTACGACTACTGTTAGAGTTTCGTCTAATCTTCATCAATTCTTCACTTCTTCATCAATTAGAGCATTGTAATGGCCAACATGAGTGGCTAACTTCATTCTCTTAGGATTCGGTGCACTTCCTTTGAACTCTTTTGTATCATGGTGATATTTTGAGATATTAATCTATGCTTTGATATTGTTATTCTTATCATTTATGCTTTGGAATAATTTATTCTTGATGTTTGAGGTATGATTGTAAAATATATCTTGAACCCTAGATCACGGTAAGAATATTTGTTACGTTAATTGCCAGGAATGGAATGAATGTATCAATTGCTTAACACCCTAAACCTAATACTGGGAAATCTCTTAATTGTGTGAGGAATCAACATATATTAGGTTTTCTTATGAATTTCATGTGTGAGGAATCAACATGGATGATTTGAGTAGGTGGCATCAACATTGTTAGGTTAATTGACATTCTTAATGTTAGAATCGCGCAGCGGAATGTTTGCGTGAATGGACAAAAACCAAGAGGGGGGGGGGGTGAATTGGTTTCTTAACAAAAATTAGGTTTTAAAAATTTTCCCCAAATTTTACC